ACCCTGTACAGGGTCGCTATGGGTCGGAACCGACTCGACGGCACTTAACAACAACAACAACAACAACGTCATATATGGGGAGAAACTATCAGGTCACTGACTCTAGAGCCACTGAGCTATTTTTTTTTTTAAATGATGGTAAAAATATACATCCTACAGCAAAGGACACCTCACCATTTCTCCCATAGCACTCTCTACTCAGCTGGCTTCTATTGCAGCGGCCACACAGAACTCAGTTAGGAGGTTTATTAGGAAGGTTAACAGGTGATAATGCAGAGGCAGAAATGGTTAGGGCACAGTTGTTCTAGTTAGGACAGCCTCTTTTCAGCTATGCCCACAGGTAAGCCTCTCTCTGCCTGGCCAGTGTTACAGAGCTCTTTTAGAGCTGTTGATAAATGCCCATACCATTCCATCATAAGCCTCAGCCTACAGGCTCTCAGCTCTAGCTCTGTAGACCAGCAAACCTAGCTCCCAGCTTAAGTGCCTAGAGATACCTCATCCTGCCCAAAGTCACTCAGCTTTACTTGCTCTGTGGGCTGGGAAGCCGACGGCTCTGTCTGGTGCTCTATTGGTTCTGCAGACACAACTTTCTATCACTGGGTCTAGGAGGTTCAATGTGCCGGGATCTTGGGATCCAACAGACATGTTCCACTCCTGGCTCTTCTTTGATGGTAGTAAGATTCCCTCTCCTGCTTCTGAGATAGTTCACTTTATATCCATGCTAGAATTTCAAGTTTTTACAACTCTAGTGAACTCTGTTAACATCCACAGCTGAACCGTGTCATCCTATCAGCGTCTTCTCCCACTTTCTCTTACCCAGGCCCATCAGGAAAAGTGTTGTTTGGTGGGAGTTACAAAGACTAAAGCTAGAAGAGACACGTTCAGTAATTCACTGCACCACACATACCTAAATATTTGCAGGGATTATTCAGTGACATTAATCTACATTCTTTAGGTGTGCAACCATTTGTACTATCGTTTTCTGGATTACTCTACCATCATTAAACATGAATTCGTGGGGATTTTGTTGTTGTTGTTGTCTTAATGTTATCCTGCTTCTTTCATTTGGGGTTACCACAGTTAACAAATTCACAGAAAAGTGATCCTTCATACCCAAATCCATACAGGCCTCTGTCCATGTAGTGTCTCAGCCTCTGCTGGGAACTGACCAGTGAGTGTTATTGCCTCAGAGATGGATGTGGATGGGTGTGAGCACCATCTCACCCCAGTCATGGTGACACCTGCTGCACTGTACCTGGCCCACACAGCACACACTTCCAGAGAAGTTGTTGTTCAGTGATTGTGACTCTTGGCAGCCCCATGTGTGTCAGAGTAGAAACATGCTCCATAAGGTTTTCTTGGCTGATTTTTCTAAATAGATCGACAGACTCTTTCTTTCTTTCAAGAAAGACACTTCTGGGTGGGCTTAAACTGCTAACCTTCCAGTTAGCAGCCAAGTACATTAACTGTTTGTTTGTATCACTCAGGGATTCCCTAGCATTTTCGATTCCAGGCAGTGCTGTTGGATTCTTTTTCTATTTGCCCCGTTTCCCTTTTGTCTGTACCCCATGCTGATCACCTCTTAATTAACACCATCTTCCTTCAGACAGGTAACAGTATGCTCAGTCAGTCTCCTTTGAGGAGCACCCCCAACTGGGATGAGGAAAGAATTGCCTCAGGCCCACCCTCCCCTAGTGCACACCACTCTAAATGGAGTTGAGACGCTTTGGAATAGCCTGTGGGACATGCTTTCCAGCCTCCTGCCCCATCACAATCTCTGGGGCCCATCATTCTCTCAGCATCCCACTCCTGTACTGAGAACCTAAGAAATGCCAAGCCTGTAGGCTCAGACTGCAGCCGGGCCCTGAGGCCCAGCTCTAGGAGGAGCATCTGCCCGCCCCTTTCATTCTCCTGTGCTTGCCCTGCCTTGCTCTGTGATTGTGAGCGTGTGTGTTTGTGTGTGTTTTTTGTTCCAGTAACTTGCTGGGAACAAAACACAACAAACTCCACGCCTCACCCACTAGCTCCGGAGCACCCGCACTGGGCTGCATGGGGACTGGCTGGAGGGGAAGGCCCGGGGAGGGGGAGAGGGAGAGGCAGAGCTTCGGGAGGAGATGAGGTGAAAGTAATTGACGCTGCCCAGCCCGGCAGTGGGAGAGCTGTGGGATGCGTCAGTGTGGAGCTGGAGCTGGAGCTGGAGCTGGCAGAGGTGTGAATGAGCAGAGGAGACACACGAGCTCCAAGTGCTCACCCCGGGATGGCTGCGACCCGTGGACCCATGGCCCCTTCCTCCCCAGAGCAGGTCAGTCACCTTCCAGAAGGTTGCCGTCCCCTCCCTGGTGCCAGGCGGGCATAGAGGCTGGGGTTGGAAGTGGAGAGAGGGACTGAGTGGTGTGTGCCAGGAAGGGGCAGGCACAGCCAGAGAGCAAGACAGACACTAGCAAAAGTGACCCAGAAAGTTACAACTGTGCAAAGGAGTGCAGGAAGAGTTAGCTGTGTGGTGGGGGGTGAGGGGGGAGAAAAGTGGGGGTGTGAAGGCTCCCCAGCCCAAGGACCTGCTGAGAATCTGCTCTGTGTATCAAAGCTGCATTGTCCCAGCTCCCGGGGAGACGGGCCGGAGGTGCCCAGGAATTGTACTAATCAATACAGCCTCATTGTCTCTACCACAGGCAGTTACTCCTATGGGGAGAGTGGGTGAGGGGGACAGGGAAACATGTACATGAATTTGGGGGTGAGGTGTGGGGGAAGGGGTTGGGGTAAGAGAGGAGAGAGACCCTACCAGATGTTCAGGGGCCTCCAGGGCAAGTGCCCAGTGAGGGGCGAGCCGGGTACCCTCATCCCTAGGAGATGGGGATGGGCAGGGATGCAACGGATGGCAGTGAGGGTGAGGGAACCAAGAAAACCACCTTCCTCCCTGGTGGGGCTTCCTGGCTTGACCTTCAGAAAGCAGGAAAAGGAATGTATTCTGGGGGAGATGTGGGTTGGATTTTGGAAAAGCTTTATGCGGGGTTGCTTTCAAACCTCAGAACTGCTCGGGTCAGAAACTGAAGCCACTTCCCAAAGTGGCAGCCCATTGCCAATTGACTGGGGAGGAGATAGCTAAGTCAAAGCTGTTTCCACCAGTTCCCCAGGTTGCTGAGCATCTCCAGGGACGAAGGTGAGGGAGTGAGCAGGGCCCACCAGGTTTCCTCCATCACTTTCCCCTGGGGCCTGGAGAGGAGCCTGGTGTGCCTAGAGGTGCCAGGCTTCTATCTGCCATGCAGAATAGTGGAAGGTCATTCTGCCAATCAGGACTCTGTGACGAAACAGCTCAGGGCATGTTCTTACTCTGTCACCTGCTATATAAAGGTCTAGGCTTCTGTGGGCACCTGGAGTCCTGAGTGGTACCCAGAGGCTAAGCTATGCTTCCTTTTGAGACAAACAACAAAACCCTATTGCTGTGGAGTTGTTCACTCATGGCAACCCTGTGGATAACAGATCAAATCTGTTCCATAGGGTTTTCTTTTTGTTTTAAGTTTTTATTGTGAATTATGTGGGTTTACATGGGAGAACATCAGTTTTACATTCATCCTATCGTATTTCGTTTCATTGCAATGATTATAATCCATTCCATGCATCATCAAATAACCAAAGGGTACACCCCACAGGCCTGCGCCCCGGCCATCAGCACACAGCCCCTCTCCCTCTCTGAGTCCAGTGTCCCCAGCCACTCCATCTGTCCACGTTGTCATCTCTGCCTCCATCTCTGGCATCACTGCTTCTCTGGGTAGGGTCCCAAACTCTGCTCTTCTCACTTGATGGTCCCAGGGACCTCCGCTCCTGGACTGCAAAATCAATCACTCCCCTCCTTTTGTTAAAAATCATCAAAAACATCTACCTTTGCATTTCTGACCCTCACAGTCAGTCCTGATGACAATTATTCACTATGGTACCACAAGAGTCTTATCCCCATCTCTCATTATCCCCGTTCCAACAGATTGCAAACTGTTCTGTGGAGATTCTACCTTCCCCTACCCCATCTTGAACTAGACCCCCCTCTTGAAAGCTTGTAAGCCAGTCATTTCTTGCCTTTATAGGCCCCCCATTTTGTGTAGCCAATGTCTAAGTTGCCCATCCCTGTCAACCCTCTGTGCTGAGTGGGTGGGAGTGATCCTCGCTGTAAAGATTTGTTCCCTGTTTTGAGCTACTACATCCATAAGTATAGGTCAAGTTCATCAAATTGTAGCAGGTTTCTCTTTTTTATTTTCCCTCTTCTTTCTTCTTCTAGTTGAGTTCTGATTATCCAGCCATTGAAGCCAGGTCAAGTGGGTAATATCTGCAAGTATGGGTGTTCTTGTGCATCTCCCCTCACTTGGTATCAGCTGGATGCTTCACTCTCCGCTCTAGTCCTCTGTGGCCATGTCAGTCACTACCTCTGGGTCCAGGAGTCCCTGGGTCTTGTCATACTGCTGGCCAACCAGGTCTCCACCCAGGTTCACAGGAGTCTATTGAATGTGGTCAGACTTACCTCCCAACTTCATTGCTGTTTTTCTCCCTCTTCACCAGCCAGACCACATGCCTGCTCATGGTCTTGAGTCTTAGTCCTGGAAAGGAGTTTTCTCTGAGGGGACCCAACCACTTGCCTTGATGGCTCTTAAATGAACAGCTCGCTTGTTCTTATAGTAAACAATCAGACTACCATTATTGTTTTTCATTTTTCCTGCCGGTCTTTCTTTCATGAAGTATCTGTTGTTCTTCTAGCCTCTCAAGGCTGGTCTATTTGTCCTTTCAAGTGGAAATTTCCCACCTCAGATGATTCTGGATGGGGTTCAGGATCCTACCCCATAGGGTTTTCTTGGCTATAGTCTCTACAGAAGCAGATCTCTAGGTCTTTCTTTCGTGGCTGGTGAGTTTGAACCACCAACCTTTAGGTTAGTAGTCAAGGGAAAACTGCTTGTACCTGAGGCAACTAATTCGTTCTGTATGTTGTTGGAATGTTCTTCGCGTTCTTTAATTTTTCCCCAGTCTTGAATCTCTAGCCCCTGGCCCTGCCTCATGTCCCAATAGCTGAGGCCAGAGATCAGAACCTCAGCTGGATCTCTCTCATCAGTGTTACAAAGGTGAAGGGCAGCAGGTTCTATCATTGTAGGGCAGGACTGACGGGTGAGAACTTGGGGGACCAAGAACCAAATGGTGCAAGGCAGGAGGTTGGGGTCTTCTGAGGCAGAACAATTCCTTGTAATGGCTATTCTGTCTGAATTCCCCACTGGGGCTCAGAGAAAACTGCCAGTGATCTGGATTTGGCTTACAGTCAGTCTAGGATGTGGGGTCTTGCCTGTTCTCCTCCATAAAAGTTTGTCTTGGATGAGACTTCATCCCATGAGCAAACCCTGGGGCCGGAGAGCCCTAAACAAGAGGCTGTTGGATCCCAGTGGGGCTAGCCCAGCCAGGGCAGCTCCAGGAATCCTCAAGAGCAGGAGGAGGGAGCTCACAATTCACAAAAATATCCCGTGGGTGCTGATGGGGGGCGGGGGGCAGGAACCCCAGCCAGTCTGGACTGTCTCTGAGACTGTACACCATTTTATTATCAGTGGGTACCTCTGACAGCTTTCTTCTCTACACTTTGTTGTTGTTGGTGGTATTTTCCTCGTTTTGTTTTTTTGCATTAAGTTTATAACACATTTCTCATCAGAAAAAAAAAAAAAAAACTTAAAAAAAAGTTATCTAGAAAGCTAATGGGAACTCATGGAAAATACAGAAGACAGTCAAAAATAGCCAAGTTGCAGGCAAGGCATAACTACCAAATCCCAGCAGATTTACTAGCGTGTTGCCTGATTTTGCAGATAAGGAAGCTGATAGTAGAAATGGCTCTCCCAGGTCTCTGTAGGACCAGGCTCTGGAATGTCTGGGTTCTAACCCCCAGCACAGGGGCCCTATCTCTGCCAGTGACGGATAGTGGAAGATATGATGCTGCTACCCTCAGAGCCTTAATTCCAGGAGTGCATCCTAAACAGTGAATTGGCCAGGATAGGGGGTTATGTAAAGCCCTCATGTAAATGACTACTCAGTGTGGTTCACCCAACTAGGCAGGGGCAGGAGGTAGAGAGTTGTTGATCCAAGAGAGACTGTAGTCTTTGTACAGTGATTGAGTACTGCTGCCTCAGTGTCTCTTTCATTAATGATGGGTTCTAAGGGCAAAGCGGGGAGTCCTGGTGTGGCACTGTGGGTTAATGTGCTGGGCTGCAAAGTCGCTTTGAACTGCAAGGTCAACAGTTCAATCTCACTAGCTGCTCCTCAGAAAATCTATGCAGGGTCGCTAAGGGTTGGAACTGACTCGACAGCACTTAACAACAGGAATGATAAGGAGGCATCTGAGGGTCTTACTATGTGTGTGTGTCTGGAGCAGGATAGGTCATGGAAGATGGTCAGCCAACTCACCCACTCAGTCATAGAAGGGAGACTCTAACACTTCCATTGGGTGCAGTCTGGGAGAACTTGGGTACAGGACAGGGTAGTCCCAGTCCTGGAGACCACCCATTGGGCCCTAGCAGTGGCAAATGCCCCAGAAGTGGTCACTGAAAGTTTTCAGGAGGGGCGGCAGAACACAGGCCAACCCAGAGGGGAAATATACCACTAGGATTAATTCACCACGGAGGTGTGAGCAAGGGAGGGAGGGGAGCTGTGAGGGGCAGAAAGTGGGCACTGAGTGATGGGCAGGAAAAGCCTGGAGCATGGCCAGTCAGCAGTGCTGAGTCGAGTTAGGCAGACGGTCAGCCAGTCTGGGTCAGACTGAGCACAAAGGGGTTTTGCCAGTGACAACTCTAGGGATAGTTAATATCAGTGACACAGCCTCCCTCCCACAGAAAAATGAAATGCTTGTAACGGGACAGATGATGTGTGGAGAAGCTACAGCTATGTAGCATTGAAAAAGGCTTGCCAGCAGTGGATTGAGTTGCCCCAGAGGAAGTTGCAGGGTCCCCTAGGAGACAAGGTGAAGGGAACTAGAAGTCAGAGGTCTAGGGCAAGGGATGCTCCCAGAGCAGTGTCAGACTCACAGAGCTGAGGTTCACACCGAGAGGAAAAGATGGGCACTATTTCTGCTAGCAGCGTCTTGTCCCACTTGGGGGGCTTCATTTCACTGACCTCTAGCTCATATGTACAGTGGACCCCTAGTGTTGTCAGTAATTTCCTGCCAGAGCCCAGTCCCTAACCTCTAGTTCCAGACCCTGTCCAAGGGGCTTTTGCATCCCATGTTCCAGCCTGCACGGCTGAATGGATTAGCTCACAGCTCCACGATGTGTCCCTCATTAAAGGGGCAACAGGTTGGCTCTTGAGAACTGTCAGGTGGCTGCCTATGACACGTGGCTGGAAGGGCACCACCCTCTGCCTGTTTCCCTCCATACCAGGGAAGGAACAGGACTCAGAGGCACATCTGGCCCCACTGCCTTCAGTACCTGGTGAGAAGTCTGTCCTTTCAGCTACTGGGATTACGAGAGGGACCTTGGGGACCTCAGTCTGTGCAAGGGATCCTGCCCTTTTGTCTTGCCCTTGATTGTCCCTTTTCCAGCTATAACCACTGTTCTGTGACCCCACCCACATCCACTCTGGCTGCCACAATCCCTTATTGTGCCCCTAAGTAAACAAGCCTTGGACAGAATAAAACTGTTATTGTAGGTTCAACATGTAAACGAAAAAACAAACCATTGCTGTCTAGTTGGTTTTGACAGAGTATAACTGCTTTATAGGATTTCCTAGACTGTAATCTTTTTGGGAACTGACTGCCGCATCTTTGTCCTATGGAGTTGCTGGTGGGTTCAAACCACCAGCATTTCAGTTAGCAGTTGAGTGTTTTAACTGCTACGTCTTCATGGCTGCTTGGTCACCATATAGGAGCCCTGTTTGGCTGGGATTTGCTTGGAAATGGATAAATCACCCTATTGTTGTTAAATACCATCAAGTAGGTTCCAAATTATAGTGATTTAGGGTTTCCAAGGAATGACTGGTAGGTTTGAACCACCGACCTTTTGGTTAGCAGCCCAATGTTTTTCCTACACCAGGTCGTCTAAGCCTTCCAAAACCATAGCAACACCTGCCCCAAAGGTCCTAGGATTTGGTGAGATGCACGACAGTTAGGCACATATCAGAGAGGTACCTCAGGCCATGAGCCACTCTCCCAAAGCCAAGTCTGCTTGTACCTTTAAGCCTCTTCAGGAAGGCCTTTGACCACACTTACTCCCCTTGTCCACCTTATATATTCTTGGGATGTGGAGTAATTCCCGTGTGATTACACTGAAGCCGATATGAAAATGATGTGTTTGTGTATTTCATTGATAGCTTATTCTCCCACTAGACTCTGAACTTAGAGTGAGTAGAGACTGTTTTGTCCATTGCTGCATACCCAATGTCTGGTGCAGGACTGCGTGCCAGTGAGTCTCTGCCGTTACATGAATGCAGGTTGGTTCAGCTTGCCTTTCTGCTCTGGGTACTCCTGGAAGGAGACCCCACCATTCCTGGAGCTGTACTCTCAAACCTCCCAGAGGGTGTGAGGGTCCATGTCTGCTCAGGGGCAATGCTGGATTGGATGTGCAGGGTGTTTGTCCCATAAGGTGTCTTGGCTATGATGCCAACCGTGCAAACCCATAGGGACCAAAATGCACTCACAGTAGGAGGAAGGGATACAAGGCTCGGACCCCCAACGGGCTGGTGGCTTCTGCATCTGCTTCCCAAATAGGCCTTTCCGGAAGGTTACTGGACCCCTTTGTCAGTGTCAGGGTCTGCAGCATTTCAAAGTACCAAGCTGCTTTGCCATTGGCCAGTGGCTATTTTTCTAGAAGATATCTCCTTCAAGCTGAGAGTCTATGTCACTTCACCACTGTCTCTCTGAGGTGACTGGACCCCATTTCTGCACCAGGGTGTCCTCAGGGTCTCGGTCTGTTTTTCTCAGGGGAGCAGTCTTTCTCTAAGAGGCTGTTTCTGTGGCTCAAGGACTATCTGTGTTTCTCTGTGGGTGACTCTTAGGGTCCCTGTGTTCCTTAGGCAGTCCCCTCTGGCTCAGGCTTAGGGTGCTCGGTTTTGTGGAGTCCTGCTGTGGCGCTTGAACCACAGTTGGTTTGAACTGCAAGGTCAGCAGTTCAAGCTCACTAGCCACTCCTAGGAAACCCTATACAGGGTCGCTGTGGGTCTCGGAACTGACTCAGCCGGTACTTAACAACAACAATGGAAAGGGACAGAAAAGGCACATTCACACCTTCAGAAGGACTTGCAAAGCGTATTCCACCCACAGACATAGCACCCTTCCCTTAAAGCCCCCTCCTCTATAGTTCACTCTCTCAGCTCAGAGGAACCCTCCTTCCTGCCACCCTTTTCTAGGGAGCATCTCCTAGTAGTCTGTCCTCAAGGTCTGGCATGGTGTCTGTCGCTCTGATCTCATCCCCCAAATCACGGTCCAGCACCCCCTAGCCATGGCCCAGGTCAGCCTTCCATGACCCCTTCCTCAACCTGGGCAGTATAGATTCTCCCATTCTGAGTCCAAGTTATGGCTCCCCTCAGTGGCTCCCCTCCTTCCTCCCTGTCACAGCCTAGCCCAGCCCACCCTGTGGTTCCAGGCCCCCAGGAAGGAGCCGTAGGCTTCGGGAGGAGCCTAGCATCCCGCCCTTGCAGCGCCTGCCCTTGGGCATCGTGCTCAGCCTGGCGATGTGGTAGGCGGCAGTGGGGGGGTGGTCTGGACACAGGCCCCTTTGTGCCCAGACTGACTTGGCTGCTTGGTATGAGGCTCAGCTCCCAGATCCTTACCCAGAGAGGGAAGGGGAACCTAAGAGGGGCTGGGGCCAGCGGGATCTGGGCCCTAGCTCCCTGCACAGTGCCCTCCTCTCAGAGGTTGGCAGCAGCTCCTCAGGTGGGGTGGTGCACCTGGCATAGTGGGCTAGGGGGCTGGTGAGAGAGTCCCCACTTGGCACCTTTTGACAGCTGTTCCTTTCCACTCTGCCAGGGCTGCCTGTAGCTTGTTGCCAACAGAGGGACAGTTTAGAGAGGGATTAGGGCTTGGAGGGTCCACAGTGTCCCCACTGGGGTGGCCCAGAGGGTCAGGTTTGGGGACACAAATACCTTGCTGATGGTAGCTTCTCTCCTATCTCCACAGAATGGTGTTGTGCCCAGCGAGGCCACCAAGAGGGACCAGAACCTCAAACGGGGCAACTGGGGCAACCAGATCGAGTTTGTACTGACGAGCGTGGGCTATGCCGTGGGCCTGGGCAATGTCTGGCGCTTCCCATACCTCTGCTATCGCAACGGGGGAGGTACCCAGCGGGCACAGGGCAGGGACCACCCACTTGGGTAGAGCCTATCGCCAGGACCTGGAGCACCCTCTCCCTAGCACAGACCCCACTGCAGACAGAGCCTGACCTCTGGCCCAGGCCTCTTTCACCCCCATGTCTGGCTTCGGTATCCTTAGCCTAAGGCACAGACAGCCAAGCCCCTGGCTGTCTGCTGTTTGGGCCTGCTCCCGAGAGGAGAAGTATAGAAAAGCACCCCCTCTGGGGTTCCTTCCTGTAGCCCTAATGTTTCATCAATCCTACAAATGGTTCTGGGTTATTTGAGGACTCCAGCAATTTATGTTTGTGAAATTGCCTGATTAAACGATCAAATCCCACCCAAACAGGGTGCCTCCTCTCTGAAAGTCATTTCTGCTCTGAGCAGACTTCCCAGGAGCCTCTGTCAAGTTCAAAGAAGAGCTAGGGGTAGTGTGCCTAGGAGCCAGGCCCTGCTAAATACCTGGCACATACTTCCTTAGAGCCTACCCAATAGCAAAGGTTTTGCTGTTGGACTCTGAGCAGGAAGCACAGGTGGAAGCCACTAAACCTACCCCTGAGCCCAACCTCTCTTTGCCTGCCAGGCGCCTTCATGTTCCCCTACTTCATCATGCTGATATTCTGCGGGATCCCTCTCTTCTTCATGGAGCTCTCCTTCGGCCAGTTTGCAAGTCAGGGTTGCCTGGGTGTTTGGAGGATCAGCCCCATGTTCAAAGGTGAGGCCTGGGCAGAGCATTCACACACACGCCTCTGGGGGCCCTGCTAACCCACCCATCTGTATAAACACTGCCAACCCATGGTGCTGACCCCTGGGCCCTACATCAATGGCCAAGGTCATGAATACATGCTGGGATCCATGTTTATTTGGCCTCCACCCTCTCCTCCCATCACGTGTACACACAAAAGCCTCAGCTTGTCCCTGCCAAGGTCATGATCTTTCCCTTCCGTGGCCTTCCATCAAAGCCTGATCCTTGGGTCCTTAAATTGTTACCCTCCCCTCCGTCCTTCTGGTTAGATGTGTGAGGCTGCCCCCTCCTACCTCCATCCTCAACAGTACCCTGACAGGTGCCCCTCCCCTCCCCCAGGCGTGGGCTACGGCATGATGGTGGTGTCCACGTACATCGGCATCTACTACAATGTGGTCATCTGCATCGCCTTCTACTACTTCTTCTCGTCTATGACACATGTACTGCCCTGGGCCTACTGCAATAACCCCTGGAACACGCCCGACTGCGCCTGTGTGCTGGATGCTGCCAACCTCACCAATGACTCCAGGTCTGCTGCCCTGCTCAGCAACCTCTCCCACCCGCTGAACCACACCTTCCAGAGGACCAGCCCAAGCGAGGAGTACTGGAGGTGAGGCACTTAACGTTCAGTTTGGAGGGAGGGGACAACCCTCAGTCCTACCTACCTCTTGTCATGGGCAGCCATCAGCTGACTGCCCTCCAGTGGGCATGGAGGGGATAGAGATGGGTGGAAGAGAGGTAAGGAATTTTCAGCCTGGTTGAGAAGAGACTAGCATGCTGAAGAGCCCTGGAAGACGGAAAGTGGAGTGATGGCTTCCTGGGGCCCAGCAAAGGCACTGGGGCCCAGACACCCAGAGGCACCTGCTCTGTGGAGAGTAGTGTTGTTGTTGTTATGTGTCGTGGAGTCGGTTCTGACTCATAGCGACCCTGTACAGGGTTTCTGAGGCTATATACATCTTTAGGGGAGCAGAAAGCCTCATCTTTCTCCCACGGAACAGCTGGTAGTTTCAAACTGCTGACACTGAGGTCCGCAGCCCGATTCCTAATCGCTACGCTACCAGAGCTCCTTGTGGAGAGTAGTAGGTGGGGGCAAATTCCTGGGCCATGAGGTGGCATAGATGGGGCCTGCCTACTTAGAGAACTTACAGGAATTAAGATTCGATTCAATGCTGCAGGATGGACAGACCTTGGTGTGTGGTGAAGCTGTGTATTGTTGTTAGAGCTTTTGAGTCACTTCCCATTCATAATGGCCCTGTATAGAGTTTCCAAGGAGCAGCAGGTAGGTTTGGATCACCGACCTTGTGGTGTGAAGTTCAGTGCTAACCGTATAGCACCATACCAGAAGTCCATGTTCTGGCTCCACTGTGCTCAGGCCAGAGCCTCAGGCCAGCTAAAGGGAAGCTGTTCCTAGAGGTGCTCTAGAACACCTTGTCCCAACTGAATGGGTGTGAGGGGACAACAGGACATCCTAGAGGAAATTCCTCATGTCCTGTTGGAGATCCAGAGAGCAGCTTTTGTATAGGGCCCACATGTGGACACTGGGCTTGAGGGGTGGTGGGTAGGCCCTGTGTATTCATTCCAAAAGCATGCAAATGCCTGGCCTATTCTAAGTTCTGTGTGCCCATGTAGGATAGGATTGATCTAGAGCACCTGCCATGAGGAGCTCTTAGGCCAGTGGAGACACAGTAACCAGATTAACAGGACAGGTACCTCAGTGCAGGTATATGTGGGAGTGGGTAGGAACATGAACAGCGTAGTGGGCAAGTTTTAAGGGGAGAGGGGCAACAAGAGGTGGTCAAGAAAGCTTCCTAGAGGAGGCGAGAGGCAGGTTATAGATGAAATTGGAAAAGACATGAGCAGGTAACAAACTGGAACTCTGAGGGTAGGGACATGTAGGACACTGAGCAATAAGACAGAAGAATCCATTGCGCATCTTAGGATGCAGGGCTTCCAAAGCCAGGCAAAGGTTATAGGCGTGACAGACTCCACTGTGCGACATACAAGCCACATTGCAGTCATTGTCAGATGCCTTTGAGTTGGTTTCAGTTCAGAGTGAACCCATGTGACAGAGGAGAATTGTCTCATAGGGGCCCTGATGGTGGTAGTGGTTAAGGTGTTCGACTTCTAAACAAAAAGTCAGCAGTTTAAACTCATCAGCTGCTCCGTGGCAGAAAGATATGGCAGTCTGCTTTCATTAAAAGTACAGCCTTGGAAACCTCAAGGTCAGCAGTTCGAAACTACCAGCAGTTCCGCAGGAGAAAGATGAGGCGTTTTGCTCCTGCAAAGATTTATAGCCTCGGAAACCCTGTGCAGGGTCACTATGAGTTGGAACCGACTCCACGGTACTTAACAACAACAACAACTCTAGCTTATGGAGTAGTGCTGTAAGATAAGCACTGGACTTCAAGGTCATCTGAACCACAAGGTCAGCAGTTCAAATTTACCAGCTGCTCCTTGAAAACCCTATACAGGGTCGCTATGAGTAGAAACCGACTCGATGGCATTTAAACAGAAACTCTCTCCTATAGGGGTCACTATGAGTCCAAATCAACTCGAAGGCAATGAGTTTGGGTTTAGGAGAGTTTTGTTTTGTTTGGTCATCTTTATGGGAGGTCTTTATTCCCATGAAGCCACTAAGTAGGTTTGACCTGCTAAGCTTTCAGTTAGTAGCCAAGCTACTGTACCACCAGGGCACCTTCCCACAAGTCATAATGAGTTGATATCCTTTAAGTCCAGTTCTGAGATCCCAAACCCCAAAGTGTCCAGCTTTCCCATGCCAACCTCTGCTGAGCCACAGACTATCACTGCGGCTGTCACGATCCTTGGGGCTCACCATGTAGATGAGACAGAGCTGCTGCCTCCCAGTGACAGGACAGGCATTGTCTGTTACTGTCAGATCCTTTCTAAGTACCAGACACTATACTCGGACCACAGACCTGCCTTCATGAAGCTCACATCAAATGGGAGAACTAAGCAAATAATGGCCTTATTAGGTATTTTACTACATCTGAAGCACAGTTGGAGTGGACAACTACTGATCTAGACCTGGATGAACCCTCTCAGAAGTTCCCAGAACCACAGAGCCTTGCCCACATGTCCAAGATATCCCAGTGACCTTTGTTCCAGGGGCTGCCTACCAGGGGTTCCCCAGCCCCTTGGAGCCACCCAGGACAGAGATCTCAGGTGATTGTATCCAGTGAAATTGGGGTACCCATAAAGCAAATCCAGAGCAACCAAGTCCCATGTGCAGCCAGAGGAACAGACCAGGGTGACCACTAGAGATGAGGTGTCCAGGAAGGAAGTCAGGATGCGAGCTTGGTCACCTGCCAGTCGAAACAATAGTCTGCCACTTAGGGCCTGTTTGGTTACTCTGACTTTGTAGAGTTGGAGTCTCGTTACCTGTGAACAGAGACTACACCACCAGTTAGGAACTAACCTGCTCACCTAAATTGGGGTTTGGAGGGAAAAAGCCCTCAAAAGCCAGGCCTCTGGAACTCTATTCAGCTGTAGATGGAACCAGGCTTTGCAACTAGCTGTTGCCCTCTGTTCCAGGCAGGATAGCTCCCTGCTGCCTCCTACTGGAAAGCTTGGGGAAATGACCATTAAGATGCACCTAAACTGGCTTCAGCAAGGAAGGGATGAGAGATAGTACTCCCGTTTCTTGGGCACCTACTATGTGCCAGCCATATTATCTCAGTAGGCATTTTTCTCACTAGTTTTCAGCTTCAGAGACTGATATTCAAAGAGGTTAAGGAGGTTGCCGGTGATGGCTGGTCCAGGATATGTATTCACCCAGGGTCATCTGGCTCTAAGCCTGAGTTCTTCCCTCAGTGCCTTTGTGCTTGTGGATTCAGTCTGTGATGCTCTGCAGATGCCCCTGGTCCATGCTCTCCTCCGCTCATTTGAGAAGCTGCATGATCTATTTGAGCCCCTAACACTAACCCTGTTAGGTAGTTTGTGCAAGTATTAGAAAATATTTCCATTTTACAAACAAGAAAGCAATTCAAAAGAAATAATGTGTGAATGGTCTAAAGCAAGAGTAGCTCACAGGGCAAATTTCTGAGCCAGTGTCTCTGCCTTCTGCCTCACCAGTTCACCTATGATTGTCTTCTCCCTCACCATTCCTTCCACAATGTCATTTTATAGTCATTGGTGAACTGATCTTAATCCTGTTGTTATTGTTGTTAGGTGCAGTTGAGTTGATTCTGAACCCATAGCAACCCTATATGCAATAGACTGAAACACTGCCCAGTCCTGCATCCTCCTCAATTATGGCTACCTTTGAGTCCATTGTCTCAGCCACTGTGTCAGTCTACCTCACTGAGGTCTTAAACTCATTGTCATTTCCACAAACTCATTCTCATTTCCAGCACCCACCACCCAGTGGGACTCAGATCCCAGCATGCTTACTCAGGTGTCTTCATGATGGTTAAACACATAGGCAACTCTTTTGTAACAAACCTCACTCAAATCCTGGCTCTACCACAAAAGTCACCAGACCTCCTGAAGTCTCAGTTGCACCATCTGTTAGATAGGGGAATTTACAGTAACTGTCTCAATGGACTGGATAAGAATGAAATGAGATGAGGCAACATCATTCACTAAGAATAGTGGCAGGTATCAATACGTACAATGGTAGGCACTGCTGGAGACACAAACAAGTAGAATAGGGAGTTCTGTTCTCATGGAGTGTACCATCTGATTGGGGGAAATAAGGCATATTTATATGGATAAATAACAAAATAATATCAGAGATGCCTTGCTTGAGTCAACTTATAAATATGTTAGCTTCTAACAGTTCTTTAGCTTCTAAAAGTTCTTAAGAAGATGGAAGGAATACACAGAGTCACTATGCCAAAATAATTAGTCAGTGTTCAACCATTTCAAGAGGTAGCATCTGATAAAGAACCAATGGCACTGAAGGAAGAAATCCAAACTGCACTGAAGGCACTGGCCAAAAACAAGACTCCAGGAATCGACGGACTACAAATTGAAGTGTTTCAACAAACTGGTACAGCACTAGAGGTGTTCACTCATCTGTACCAAGAAATTTGAAAGACAACTGCCTAGCCAACCAATTGGAAGAGATCCATATTTGTGCCTATTCCAATGAATGGTAGCCATACAGAATGCAGAAATCATCAAAACAATATCATTAATATCACATTTTTTGCTGAAGATAATTCAAAAATGGTTGCAGCAATCAGAGAGCTGCCAGAAATTCAAGCTGGATTCAGAAGAGGATATGGAGCAAGGGATATCATTGCTGACGTCACATGTATTTTAGCTGAAAGCAAAGAATAACAGAAAGATATCTACTTGTGCTTTATTGACTGTGCAAAAGCATTCAACTGTGTGGATCATAATAAACTATGGATAACATTGAAAAGGGAGTCCTGGTGTAGCACTGTGGGTTAATGCGTCAGAGTGCAAAGCCATTTGAACAGCAAGGTTGGTGGTTCAAGCTCACCAGCTACTCCTTGGAAATCCTATACAGGGTCTCTATGGGTCAGAATTGACTTGATGGCACTTAACAACAACAACATTGAAAAGAAGGGGAATTCCAGAACACTTAATTGTGCTCATGCAGAACTTGTATATAGACCAAGAGGCAGAACAAGGGATACAGAATAGTTTAAAATCAGGAAAGGTGTGCGTCAGGTTGTATCTCTTCACCATACTTACTCAATCTGTATGCTAAACAAATAATCTGAGAGACTGGACTATATGAAAAAGAATTTGGCATCGGGATTGGAGGAAGACTCATTAACAACCTACAATATGCAGATGACATAACCTTTCTCCTTGGTTGCTGGAAGCAAAGAGGACTAGAAGCACTTACGGATGACACTCACTGATGAAAACCAAAGACTATAGCCTTCATTATGAATTATACATCAACGTAAAGGAAATAAAAATCCTAACAGCCAGATCAATAAACAACATCATGATAAATGGATGAAAAATTGAAGTTGTCAAAGACTGCATTTTGCTTGGAACCATAATCTACAATCATGGAAGCTGCAGTTAAGAAATCAAAGGTTGTGTTGTATTAGGCAAATCTGCTACAAAGGACCTCTTTTAAGCCTTAAAGACCAAAGATGTCATTTTGAGGACTAAGGTATGCCTGACCCAAGCCATGTTATATTCTATTATCTCATATGCATGGGGAAGCTAGACAATGAATAAGGAAGAATGAAAAAGAATGAATGCATTTGAATTATGGTGTTGGTGAAGAACGAACAAATGTGTTTTGGAAGAAGTCCAGCAGGAATGTTCCTTGGAAGTGACAATGACAATGGCGAGACCTTGTCTCTCTACCTTAGACATGCTGTTAGGAAGCACCAGTCCCTGGAGATGAACATCATGCTTGGTAAAGTGGAGGATTAGTGAAAAAGCAGATGACTCTCAACGAGGTGGATTTACACCGTGGTAGCAACAAAGGACTAACACATAACAACCACTGTGAGGATGGCACGGGACCAGGCAGTGTTTCATTCTGTTGTACACAGGGTTGCTGTGACTCAGAGCCGACTCCATGGCACCTAACATCAACAAAAGGTCTTATGTTAATTGTTTCATCTGAAAAACAAAAAAAGTAAATATAGGGTGGAATTCATTATTTGATTTCCAGGTTAGCCTACCAAACTACTTAATCCCGAATATTATAATGCTGTATTCTTGATATATATGTATACATAAAGATGTATACATACAGATGTGTGTGTGTGTGTGTGTATACTTGTGTTGTGGTGATGTTAAGTGCTATCAAGTCAGTTCCAACTCAGTGACCCTGTAGAGGGTCTCCAAGGATGTAAATCTTTTCAGGAGCAGAAAACCTCATCTTTCTTGTGTGGAGCAACTGATAGGCTCAAGCCTCCGATCTTGTGGTTCATAGACCAGTGCTTACCCCATAGAAACCCTGTACAGGATTTACATGCAGCAGCTGGTGAACCACCAACCTTGTGGTTAGCAGCCCAGTGATGATCCTATGGCACCACACCAGGACTCCTAGTTTATGGACTGCTAACCGCAGGATCAGCAGTTCAAATCCACCAGCTGCTCTGTGGAAACTCTATATGGGTTCAACTATGAGTTGGAACCAACTCCATGGCACTTACCAACAACATAAAAAAACTCCCAATTTAACATGTGTCTTGAAGGAGAAAAGATTAGAAAGCACTGTTGAAAAGGACCAGGATAACCACACAGCTCCTGATATTCCTGCATTCCATTATCAGTCACTCTCCCCAGTGAACTAAAAACCTGAAGAGGTCCAGCCAGAGCCTGGCTCTGGAGAGTATAGAATGAATGAATGGTCACTGGCAGGTGTGTTGTACGGGCAACAGGGCAGTGTTGGACAGCGCCCACTGGAGGTCATGGTGTGAAGGGCAGAAGATCTGAGGCTGAGGGGTGGTGGTTGTTAAGTGTCATCAAGTCTGTTTAGATTCATTGCGACCCTGTATAGGGGGTTTCCAAAGAGCGGCTGGTGAGTTTGAACTGCCGACCTTGTGGTTCAAACTAACATTGTGGTCTAGTGCTTACCCTACAGCATTACCTGCCTGCTTGCTAGTAGTATAAATGTCAGGTAGGCTGCCCAAGAAAATACCAAATTTCAGGACTGGTAAATTTGTCCACAAGGGCTCAGAGTTGTTCTTTATAATGGGATGTTAAAAACATTGCCATGAGCTTTGAGAACTAACTGATGGAGGGTAAAAAAGATGGAAAAAAAAAAAAAAAACCAGCAAAAAAATCAAGGACGGCTTATAAATGGTAGTTATGTAGAGAGGTCGTAGCTGTAAGCAGGCAAAGGGGGTCTATATTGACTTAATTTTATCTACTGATTTTGTGATTATATCCATTTTACAGTTGAGGAAACAGACTCAAGAGATTGTCTCTTGCTCATCACTTCTAGTATGGACAACCAAATTGGTCTCCCTCCAACATCTGGCTCCCCACCCCTTCTCCACATACCTGCCCATTTACTACAATGTTCATGCATTCGTTTAACAAAATTTACTGGCAATGAACAAAACAGACAAAAAGTCCTACCCTCATAGAGGACAGCTGACAAACAAAATAAGTTGGTAAAGTATACAGTGTGGTGGGAGGAGGTGGATACTAAAGGAGGAGAAAGAGTAGGGGGTGCAGAGCTGAGGGAAGGGGAGGGGCTGCAGTTTTAAGCAACCAGAGAAGGTGGTTCAGAGTAGAGGAGTGAGCCGTGTGAGTAAGATTTGCGACATAATTTGTGACCCCCGGTGCAAAAGGAAACCATAAGGCCTCTTGTTCAAAATGTAGATGGTAATGACAGAGCATTAAACCCAACACCCAAGACAGCCAGAACAGCAGATGCAAAGGCCCTGCGATGGGAGTGTGCCTGGCCTATTTAAGGAACAAAAGGAGGCTAATGCAGCTAAAGCTGTGGGTGAAGGGGAGAGCAGGTGGAGAGAACAGACAAGTGGTAGTACAGGGCATAGTGGGACCTTGTAGCCACTGTAAGAACTGTTTTTTTCCATGGGATGGGATGAGAGTTGCTGCAATTTTCAGCTAAGGAGAGACTGCAGAGTCCTCTTATAAAATCATAACACTGCTGGGCTTTAACCCTTCAGGGGCTCCCCATAACTCTAGGATAAAGTTCAAACTGCTCAGCCATGACTTAACGGCTTTTTATAATCTGGTAAACCTCTGACCTCACCCACCTTCCATTCCAATCATGTGCCTGACGACTTTCCTAGACTTGGTTGTGCTGCTCCATTGTTGGCCATTCCCTTAGCCTAGCACACCTTTCCACCCTTCGTTATCCACCGCCTAACCTTTCCTCAGACCTTAGCTCAAGCCTCAACCCTGCTGGGAAGCCGTGTTCTTCCCAGGGGATCTGTGCACCCCTCTTCACATTACAGCAGAGTCAGGGAAACCTTCCTTTTCTGCAGCCCGTCCCAGCAGAGCTGGGGCGGTACCTCATCTAGGGCTAGTTGTATGCCAGTACCTACCACGGTCCTGGCACACAATAGCTGTTCACGAAACAGCAGGTTAATGAAAGACCACAGCTAGTGTGACATAGGGGAGCAGTGTGGGCTCTAGGGCCTCCCATCTTCACTCAGCACTCTGCGGCCTCCCTCCCTCGTTCATTGGAGATGGAGGAGACTGGTGGTGGTGTTTCCTGGAGGAGGTGGTGCCAGGAGGAGTGGGCATCACAAACAAGGGGCTGGGTGTACACCCAAGCAGAGACGGAGAAACCTCCTGAATCTGAGAAAGCTGTGTCAGGTAGAGTGGTCCCAGAAACCCTTGAGGGTGGCTGAGGAGGCTGCAGGGCATTGTGCCAGGCTCCCTGGAGGCTACAGCAGACCAGTAACTGGGCTATTGGACCCCATCAAGGGTCCCACCTCACTCCAGCCAGTTGCTGGAACCTCATAAGAATGAGGGAGCATCTGGGCTGGGCTGGGCCATCTCTAACTGCATGGTGGGCGCTGACCCTAAATGATAGAGTGCTCCCCTCTGCAGGCTGTACGTGCTAAAACTGTCAGATGACATCGGGAACTTTGGGGAGGTGCGCCTGCCCCTCCTCGGCTGCCTCGGTGTCTCCTGGGTGGTCGTCTTCCTCTGCCTCATCCGAGGTGTCAAGTCTTCAGGGAAAGCAAGTATCCCTCCCCTACACGGTCTGGTCCCACCAGAAAGCTCCTACCTCCCAAACCTCGATTGTGAGAAGGAAGATAGTGAAGGGGGCAAGTAGGTGGCACCCAGGGTGGGAAAGAGCCCAGAGGAAGTGTGAGCAGGAATCAACAGGTGCCCTCTTGCACCCAGGTGGTGTACTTCACAGCCACATTCCCCTATGTGGTGCTGACCATCTTGTTCGTCCGTGGTGTGACCCTGGAAGGAGCCTACACGGGCATCATGTACTACCTGACCCCACAATGGGACAAGATCCTGGAGGCAAAGGTGGGATGTGGAAGCGTCCTAAAGGTGAACAGGGAGGAGCCAGGAAGTTGTCCATCTCTGACCACAACTCCTGGTGACCCATCCCTCCTTCCAGGTGTGGGGAGATGCCGCCTCCCAGATCTTCTACTCACTGGGCTGTGCCTGGGGAGGGCTCATCACCATGGCTTCATACAACAAGTTCCACAACAACTGTTACCGGTAAGGCTCTCCTTGCCCTCGCTACAGCCAGACAGACACCAGCTTCCCCAAACCCACCAGAGCCCTCCCCTTTCCACTCATCCCTTGATATTCTGAGAATGTTGGGTCTGGATTGAACCATTGAATAATGGAGTGCAGCTTTGACAGGAGGGAGAAGGGGACAGTGACACCTCTGAAGTCTTTGAGAACTCAAGAGCCTTGTTACTGTTGTTGTTAAGTGCTGTCCAGTCAGTTCTGATTCATAACAACCCTGTATAGGGTTTCCAAAGCTTTATGGGAGCAGATCTCCCTCAGAGCAGTTGGTGAACTAGAACCACTAGACTTGTGGTTAGCAGCCCAGTGTTTACCTCAGTGCCACCATGCTCCTTGTTATTGAGTGACTGATGGGTTTGAGGAGCAGATGTTGCATTTAGAAGTCCAGTGCATTTCCTACAGTGCCACACCAGGACTCCTTAGGTTCACTTAAAAAGGTCCAGTACAAATTAGAAAATGCAATGGGCATACCTTTGTTGTAGAACTTTCTCTTTTTCCACTTCTCTCAGCCCAAATTAAGAGAGGGCAGCAAGCTGGGTATCCCGAATTCTGTTCTCTTCCCCATCAGAGACAGTGTCATCATCAGCATCACCAACTGTGCCACCAGCGTCTATGCCGGCTTTGTCATCTTCTCCATCCTCGGCTTCATGGCCAACCACCTGGGTGTGGATGTGTCCCAAGTGGCCGACCATGGCCCCGGCCTGGCATTCGTGGCTTACCCTGAGGCCCTCACGCTGCTGCCCATCTCCCCCCTCTGGTCCCTGCTCTTCTTCTTCATGCTCATCTTACTGGGGCTAGGCACTCAGGTACGAGGCATGGGACGTGTACCAGCAGCTTGAGAGGGAGGAGGCCAGGGCAGAGGCTGGGGCCCTGATCTGATAGCCGTATACTGCAGTTCTGCCTCCTAGAGACGCTGGTCACAGCCATTGTAGATGAGGTGGGGAATGAGTGGATTCTGCAGAAAAAGATCTACGTGACTTTGAGTGTGGCTGTGGCAGGCTTCCTGCTGGGCATCCCTCTCACCAGCCAGGTAGGAACCGAGTGGAAGGTGGGGCTGGAGGTACCAGGGAGTGAGGGATGATGGGTGCCCGGCTCAGCTGCTCGCTGGCCCACAGGCAGGTATCTACTGGCTGCTGCTGATGGACAACTATGCAGCCAGCTTCTCCTTGGTGGTCATCTCCTGCATCATGTGTGTGTCCCTCATGTACATCTATGGTAAGTGCCCCGTCTCTGTGGCCTCCTCTGTGTCCCAGCCCCTAGCCTACCCACTCTGCCACTGACTCCCCTCTCTGCAGGCCACCAGAACTACTTCCAAGACATCCAGATGATGCTGGGATTCCCGCCCCCACTCTTCTTCCAGATTTGCTGGCGCTTTGTCTCACCAGCTATCATCTTCGTAAGTTCCTCGTTGCACCCCTCCCTTCTACTGCTGCTCCCTGACCATGTATCCTGGGAGCCAGTGTCCATTCCTCTGACCAGAACTCCCCCTGGGGGCTCTGCAGCCACAACTCTGGCCTCTAGGAGTCTGAAGGAGGCTAAGCAGAGTTAGATGAATGTGTGGAAGACCCAGAATCACCCACCCAGACTCCAGCCTCAGTTAGGGAAAGCAGGCTGGCAGCTGAGCAAAACTCTGTTCAGTTTCCCTCAGGCTTTTCCTGGCATTCCCTCCTGGCATCCCCCGAAGGGCCTCAGGAATCATTTTTGATATTGGTGTCAGCCTGTCTGCCTTGCTGAGCACCTCAGATCCCTCACAGAGGAGGTGCTTAGGTGTGGTGTGAATAATGAAATGTTCCCCAAAGCAGGCCCAGGATCAGGGATAAAAGCCTTCGAGACAATGGAGTGGGCTGACTTGGGAGGGGAGGAGGAGTTCCCAATGTCCGAATATTCCACAGCTGGGAAACGCCTAAGACCAAAAGCGTTCAGCAGTTTGAACCTACCAGCTTCTCCACAGGAGAATGATATGGCAAACTGCTTCCATAAAGAGTACAGCCCTGGAAACCCTATGGGGCAGTTCTGTCTTAAAAGGTTGTTCTGAGTTAGAATCGACTCAATAGCAAAGTATTTGGTTTTGTGTTTATTTGGAAAACTCCTATGAGGGAGCTATATTGGTGGAAGTAATTAGTTCTATGAAAAGAAGTAGCTTTTTATGACAACAGCTAAGACTTCTTGAGCACTCATTATGAACAATGGTGACTTTCTGCACTTGGTTCATATGTTGACCCATTTAATACAACTCTTCAAGCTATAACTGTAACCCCCAATGTACAGGTAAGGAGACTGCGGTGCAGAGATGTTATAGTAAGTGGCCCCAAGATTGCACAGCTAATTAGAGAGCCCTCAATTTGAAGCAGGTGGCCCAGTGTGGCACCTGTATGCTGTGCTAGACTAGATACAATTCACCTGAAAGAAGAATGGTCCATTAGCTAAGCATAAGCATATTGTTTTTAGCTAATGGCCCATTTCTGCTGAGCATCTCCTTTAAGTGCTGAGCAGGGCTAGGGAGTGTAGTCTAATGATCATGCCACAGAGAAGAGGTGGGACCCCTGAGGGACAGTCAGAAGGGTCAGCCCAGTTGTGAGTGTGGTGTGGCGTCAGGCTCCTCTGTAGGGAGCTCAGCACCGGTCTTCCACTTTGGCTCATGTTTCTGAATAAAAGGCCCCTGGAGGGTAGAGGTCACCACATAGGGTGGAGGATGTTCCCTGAGCCTGGCACAGGCATCAGCTCTGGCCACTGGCCCAGCTTTGAAACAGAAGAAACGGAAGTCTCCTGTACAAGGCACCAATGGCCACACCACCCAAGTCTCATGTCCTCTGGAACGTGTGGCTGAGACATGCAGCCTGTCCTGCAGAGATCTCTGCTCCCACACTCAGAGTAGGCTCAGCCATGGAGAAGGCAGGGCAGGAGGCACGCAAGGAGCTAGGCACAAGAAGGGGTTGCAGGTCCCAGCTGAGACTGAGGCAAAGTAGGGTATGCCCTGTGCATAGGAAGCTGGACTGATGGGATTAGATGAGGATTTGGAGCTCTGGGGACACATTTCTGGACTGTTATTTCTTTGGGGGCTTTACTATTTTATTTCTCTGCAAAACCCCTTTTATAAACTCCATCCATCTGTCAGCTCGATTGAGGGATTTGTTCACAGCTAGATAAGGATACAGTTACATTGAGGAAATTCCCCGTTACGCTCCTGCTGCAAGAACGTGTACAGCGCCCCAGGAGGGATCCTGAGTTGGACGCAAGTCACTGGGAGGCCACAGGGGCCTGAGCTCCAGGATTCAGGGAAAGTTTCAGGAGGACGCTCCCCACCCCAGTGCTCCCTTCTGGGTAGCCTGTGTGCCTCCTGCCTTCTGTCTGCTCTAGCTCCTCCTGTTGCTGGCCTGCAGCCTTTCTTTCTTCTCTTTCTAAAGGAGCTCCTTAGTGCAGCCCCAAGCTGACACTGTTTCTGGCTTCATGTGGTCTCCCAGGTTTGTCTGTCACTCCACCGCCATAAATAAGCAGACAGGGCCTCATCCTCGCCCCGGCAGTTCAAATTAATAAATGAAATTGTGCCGGGTACTGTACTGGATTATGGAGACCCTAAGCTGATTCAGACCCAGGAACTCCCAGTTTATGGGGAACTTTTATTTCACCACATTGTTATCGATCTCATGTGTGTGAGAGTAGAACTGTGCTCCGTAAAGCTTTAGCAGCTGAGTTTTCAGAATTAGATCACTAGGCCTTTCTTCTGAGGTGCTTCTGGGTGAACTCCAATTTTCAACCTTTGACTAGTAGCTAAGCACATTAACTACTACCACCACCCAGGGACTCCAGAGGAAACGTCGTGTTGTTGCTAAGGGCTGTCAAATTGATTACGACTCACAGCGACCTTGATACGGTTTCCAAGGAGCAGCTGGTTGATTTGAACTGCTGACCTTGTGGTTCCCAGTCCAGTGCTGATCGTATAGTGCCACACAAGGAGTCCCCACAGGAAACATTAAAGTAATTCTCAGGGAGGCAGATGGAAACGTTACTGAGAGGCCCTTCAGAGGAGATGGGAAAAATCCAGAAAGGCCTCTTGAAGGAGGTGATATTTGCATAGGGCTTGATGAGAGAGGGAGGGAGGAAGTCTCCAGAATAAATGACAAGAGGGAGGAAAGTGCTGGGTGTAGCAGAAATCTTGGAAGAGAGCTGACTTGTTTGGGTCTAGATTTGCTAGCGCTTGATGGTTCTTGGACTGTCCCACAACTATGGTCAACACAGCCCTCTCTCACCTTCCACATTGCCCACCTGCCTAATAGGCCCTGGACCCTGCTTATATCTGCCTCTACCACTTCCTAATTTGTGAAACTGGAGCATTGGGAGCAGGCACAGCTGACAGGAATAATCTGAGGCTAAGGAGGCTCTGGGTGGGCCTTCTTACTCCTCCCACCTCCCCTTCTTCCCTGCAGTTCATTCTCATCTTCACGGTGATCCAGTACCGACCAATTACCTACAACCACTACCAGTACCCAGGCTGGGCTGTGGCCATTGGCTTCCTCATGGCTCTGTCGTCTGTCATTTGCATCCCACTGTATGCTCTGTTCCAGCTCTGCCGTACAGATGGGGACACCTTCCTCCAGGTGAGGGGTGGGACAGGACAGGAGGGTGAGAAAGGAGGGGATGAGGGGTAAGGGCTCCCTTCTAATTGACCTGGCCCCCTTGCACCTACCTGCCTCTCATGCAGCGTTTGAAAAATGCCACAAAGCCAAGCAGAGACTGGGGCCCTGCCCTCCTGGAGCACCGGATGGGCCGCTATTCTCCCACCATAGCTCCCTCCCCTGAAGATGGGCTTGAGGTCCAGCCTCTACACCCAGACAAGGTTCAGATCCCCATCGTGGGTAGCAACGGCTCCAGCCGCCTCCAGGACTCCCGGATATGAGCACAGCTGCTGGGGGAGTGCCCCACCCCCACCCCGTGCTCCCACACAGAGACTGGGTGGGCAGGGGGCAGGTGTTGCTGCCTGCCCCCTGCCATACTCTGGCCAGGGCGGCTGCTGTCTCTCTGGCCACCACTGCTGGTGTGGTCACTCGTGTTCATGACCCAGTGTTTACAGGTCCTTTGGATGCCAAGATGGCAGGGGTTGGGGGCATGACGGGAAAGGTGCTGGGGAGCCCAAAGCACTTTGGAGGGGTCTCAGGCCAGGTCCCCAGGCTACCTGGGCTTTACTTGGCCTCTGATACTCCACCACTCTTCCTTGAGGTTCTGGTGGGCCCCCCATCTGTCCCCTGTTGGGCCTCCAGCCTCCTGGCCAGTGTCCCCGCCCTCAGAGCAGACCCCAGCTTTGCCCAGGCAAATCTGGATCTTTGTGGGCGAGGGGTGGGGGCTGTGCAGTGTTACTTGTCAGGCTTGTCTGTGTTATTTTTGTAAACATTGTACTGTCTGTGGTTGCCACCCCTTTGCCCCCAGCGCGCCGGGTCCAATCTGTCTTCCAGACCTGCCTGCACCTCACTCGGCTGCTCCAGGGTCGCTGCCCCCCATTCCAGCCCTGGCTGTCAGGTCCAGCCAGTAGAGGCCTGGGACCCAGCAGCCTGCCCAAAGCACTTGTTTCTGGGGGGCCAGGGTAGGGGTCTGCCCAGCGGGAAACTTGAACCCAGAACCCTGGGGAAGGGGACCCTGCACGAAGCCCCCCTGCCCTTGCCTTCCTCCACCAGGCTAAAGGCCCAGTCTTCCCAAACTGTGCTGCCCTGTTCACGTGCCAAATGGCCCTAGCCCATGTGCACCCCCACCTCCTCCAAGGAGGCACAGCTCTTTCCCCAGTCCCTGCAGTGTCCGTCTGTCCATCCTCTGTGCAGTGACAGTCCTGACCAAGCCACCTCTAATCCTCTGTAGCAATAGCGGTGTGCCGCCCCCGTCTCCCCACCCCACCCCCACCTCACCCCATGCCCATCCGTGCCGCACTAGGATTCTAAAGTCCATAGATTTTAATGAAATTTCTATTCCTGTCTCTGGGCTGATGCTGTGCTTTGTCTGGGCACCCCCAGAGGGACAGGAGTCAGGGCTGGGATGGGACCTCTACCTGTCAGGCCTTTGTGGGGGGCTGAGGTGAGAAAAGCCAAGGATTTTATGACATGGTCCTGGTAAGGGGCTGCGGTGAAGGCCAGCCCCTAGGGTCATGGTGAGGACCCATTCAAGACTAGATCTGAAGCTGGTGGCTGGGGGGCAGCAGAAGTAGGTGGGACAAGTTCTAGCAGAAGTCTACTTTGAGACTAGCCCTTTAGGTGGGGCCTTGGGTGCCACATTAGACACTGCAGTGGGAACTGACCCTTCCCTGGTGCTAAAGCGGAGCTGCCGTCCCCAGCGGCAGGTAGTGGCCTGGCCTCGAGATGGGGGGCAGCACTTTGAAGGAGGTGTAGGCAGGTGGCACTGGAGAGGCCCAACCAAAGCTCCAGCAGCCTCGTGGGGGCAAAGAAAGGGTCTGGAACGCCGAATGGAGGACCTCATTGCTTTAGCATCCAGGGGGAGGGGACAGCCCGATGGCCGTGGCCTGGATAGGAAGGCATAGTTGTGAGGGGTCAGTGCCTAACCCTTTAGCCCACCTGTCTGGTCACCGACCTATCTGGCCACCCATCTGCTTTGGTTTACCTGTGGCTGGGAGAGACAAAGAAGGGCCCCAGTGGGGCCTGCAGATCCTGTTCCATGAACTTCTTTTGTTCCTGTAGCTCTGAGGGAGAGACACCAGTACTGAACTCTCCTAGGGTTTACACAGATGCAGGGCAAAGGTGTTCAGAGACCTCACCTGCCAGAGTGGGCTCAAGGGTTGCCTCGGAGGGCTGGGAAGGCCGTGTGTACTCCTCTTCCAGGCAGCCCTGCAGGCAGAGCTGAGTCAGTGCCTCAGCCTAAGGCAAGGTCCCTAGGGCAGGGCTCAGGCAGGATACAAGGGCAGACCTAGAAATCAGCCCATGAAGCCCCCTCATCTTAACCACCATTAGGGCACCCCTCCTCCCCACCATGGAGAATGCCAGCCCCACTAAAAAGCTAGGCCAGTATCTAGACTCAAATCCAGCAGGTTAATCTAAAACTGCTGACTCTGGATTTAGGGACTCAACCAGAATCCTGGGCTTCTAAGATACACACACAGGAGAAGCAAGCACATATGAGAAACAATCAGACATGACACCCATGCAGCTTTTACACACACATACATACACCCAGGTGAGGCATATTTCTGTGCTCAACAGAATGGTCCTGGGTAAAGGCCCAGACTACAACTCACCTGCAGGATGGAGATTTCCCTCTCCAAGGTTCGACACTCCTCCTCCAGGAGGCCTCTGGGGCATGAGGGAGTGAGGCCACCAGCCATGGGGTGTATCTCAGCTGAGCAGAAAGCCCTGCCCCATAACCCCTCCCTCCAGTCTCATCAGGACCCACCCCATCCCTCTTTTCTCAGCCCATGGGCTCTTGCTGCCTGGGTGCTGCCCAGGGCCCCACTAGCCTCTTCCTATGCAGCTGTGTCCTCTCCTCACCCCCTTCTCAACCCCCCACTCAGGCAGTCCCCATCCTACACTACTGCACTGAATTCTCCTCGTACAACACAGCCCTTTTCTTTTCCCTACTGTATCAAAATAAAAATGCTAGGACCATGGCCCCTACTGCCATTTTTAGCTGGGTACTTCCTGATACCAACCTCACTGGCAGGCTCCATAGCCACCTGGTCTTTCTACCTCTCAGCCTTACTTACCTGACTTCTAGGAGGGAAGCTTCCTCCCCTCCCTCTCAGTCCAAGTACTTCAAGATCCATTCCTAGTCCCATTCTCTGTCTGCACCCACACAAACACATTCAGGGGTCCCGGGGCCTCACCGCAGGCGCCTGGCAACCTGGTCGATGTTAGCCACGTTCAGCTGGTCCCTGATGACACTGAGGTCCCCATGGGTGCTACTGGCAGATAAAGTCAACATCATTCTCCCCATGTGGCCCCACTCCAAGCCTTCAGGACACACCATCATGTCCCCTAGACATTTCCATGCCATCCCTAACCAAAGCATCCTAATACCAAACCAGGAACAGCTGTTCTTGAGCCTGATTTAAAAGGAAGCTCTGCTACCCTTCACTATGTGCGAACTTGGGGAAATCACTGCTCCTTTCTGAGTTTTGGTTTCCTCATCTGCAAAATGGGGACATCACCAGCTGGCAGGGTTATGTGAGGGTTGGAAGTAAGAAGTTGCCACCACCCCTTTTTCCTTGCTCCAAGCTCCCATTCTTTCATTCAGTCCCCAGGCTGTAAACATTTGCCACCCTCTCTACTCAGCTCTCCTTGCCTCACTGGCCTACCCCAGCTCCTGCTCTCCAGGCCTTGGGAACAACTGTCCTTCCAATAGACCTTTTTCTCCCACCATATTTGCTCCCTCTTCCTGAAAAACTCTCTTCTTTCTTTCATACTCCAAGATCCAGATCAAACAGTTACTATCTCTGGAAGCCTGCCTGTTCTCAGGCTGGGCAGCTGTCTCCTTGGCTTCTGCAGCTATCAGGTGCTGACCTCTACCACAATGGCTGTACAAAGGTACAGCCCCAAACTGGAAGCTCTTCCATGGAATAAGGAGTTGGCTGGGAGGGTACAGATCCCTCCTCTCCTACCACCATTTTACCTGGGCACACCAGCTCTCATTCCAAGTATCTCCTGCTCTGGTGGATGACATCTGAGCTCCTCCAAGGCAAAGTGCACGACCCTTGGACTATACTGGGCCCAAGCCTGAGCCTGGTCCCTGCAGAAGGTGCACATTCAGGAGACAGGGACTCTTTGCAGGAGATGACAAGGAAAGGCCACCCTAGCTCTTTGGCAGGGGCAGGGGCCTAGCCCGAAGTCCAAGGTTCCCACCTGCCCTCACAGATGGCCTTGTGGCGGAGACCTTGAAGCAGTTGCCGGAGTTCCTGGCGCACGAGGTCACTTATAAGGGGTGGTGGTGCCAGAAGGGAACAAGAGCTGGAGGTGGGACAGGACCCCAAGGCTTGTGAGGATCGAGCCTCTTGGAGCAATTTCCGCAGCAGCGCCACCTGCAACAGTTCGGACACGTTGTGCCTGGGGAAGGAAGTGACTGGAGAGGTCATAGTTTGTTGTAGTGTTGGTTCCGACTCAGAAACCCTGTATAGGGTTTCCAAGGAACAGCTGGTGGGTTTGAACCACCAACTATACAGTTAGCAGTCTTGTGCTTATCCTATAGCTCCATACCAGAGGTCATGGGTGGGAGCTGTCAAAAGGTAGGGATCAGGGAAGACTAGTGAGACTAGGCAGGTTGTGGAACAAGTCTGCGGTGTAGTCCATTTCCTGCTCCCCACCTCTGCCCGCAGCTCCAGATTTAAGTCTACTTCTGATTCCCCCAGGATCCTCTTCACCTCTGGCCTCTCCAGGAGTGGCACATGCTCCTCCACCAGCTGCCACAGAGACAGGAATTCCTGGGGCATGCCTTGCCCACGAAGCCCCAAGCTTGAACCTATGGGGTAGCAAGTCAGATCTCTGGACCACTAAGGGACGCCAAGTCGCTCAGGGTTCAGGCCACGCCCCTACAGGGGAACATGCCAGCCCCTCTCAAGCACCGCCCTTGCTCTTGCCACCAATCCCACGGTAGAAACTACCAGGCTCAGGGTCCCTCGTCTCTAGTTCTGTCTCTTCTGTCCTGCCGCCACCAGACTTTCGGAGGGGTGCCGTTCCTAGCGACAGCCGCCAGGTGCAGGGCAGCGGGAACCAAGGCCACGGGCCCCGCCCCTTCCGCGAAGCAGTCTCCGAGGAAACCGTGCCGCAACCAAGGCTCCGTCCCCAGGAGCCCCGCCCATGCCTATTCGGGGTGGGAGAGCAGCGCTGGCTCACCAGTCTGGAGTTCCAGTAGATTGAACTAGGGAATCCGAACCTTATTCCAAGTATCTCAGGCTCACCCCTCACTCCCGGGCACATGTTAGCCTCAGGTCACCAGGGCTTCCCAGGAAATGGTTTAAGGAGCAGAAGAACCCTCGGAGTTCGAGACCTTGGCCACACAAAGGCAACACCAGTGCAAACTTTTCGTCTCTGGCCGAGGGAAGTCTAGCGGCCATGCTTGGAGGAGCAGGGGGCACCTGGGAAGCAACTGTAAGTTGGACTAGGGTCTCTCCCTCAAATACACCAGGTTAAAAAGGGTCTCTCCCTCAAATACACCAGGTTAAAGGCTCAGGGACTCAGAAACCCACCCATCTTGAAACAGACAAGGAGGCTGTCCCATTCACGTTTTTTACTAAAGCACCCACACAAGTTTCTGTGCAATGTACAAACACGAACCAGCCCTGGGGGTTACTGTCTCCTCCGAGACAGGGAGGCGGGAACCAGACTGACAAATCCAAGCCCCATTCGCCCTGCCCCCCATGCAAAGCCTGACCCCAAGATCTCAGGCAGGGACAGCACCCCCTCTGGTCCCCTCCGGGGGCTGCTCCTCAGCAGGGGGCACACCAAAGTTTGCCCCCACAATGTTGAATGAAAAAGGTTTCCCCTCCCTTGGGAGCATGGGGGATCCCCAAGTCTGAGGATTCCCCCTGGAAGAGACACTGCCCCCTAATCAAACCTCCCACCCTTCCAGGCCCTAGGGGACTCAAGGGGGGGAAACTGAGGCACAGAGAGGTGGAGTGACTTAACCTAGGCCACTCAACGAGGCAGTGCAGGGGCTGGCCCGACCCTGACAGTGACGGGGATGGGGGGGGTGGCTGGGCTGGGAAGCAAAGGGCAGGTGAGAGGGTCAACCCCAGAGAGGGCCACATTTGAGGGACCAGCCCAGGCCGGAAGCCCACCAAAGTGGGTTCTGAAACTTCCAGGTGCAGCTGAGGGACCTGCTGAAGCCCTTCAGAAAACTGGGCCCACGGTCTCAGTCCTGGGGGATTCCCCCAGCGTCCTCTCAGCCATCAGACCAGCCAGGCTGTAGGTCAGTCCTCTGGCAGGCAGTCCTCGGTTCTTGGAGCCTGTCCACTGGTGTCAGCCCCGAGGAGGCCAGGATGGGGGCCGCCCAATGTCCACTGTGATATTGGTGAAGAGTGGTTGTCGGGACACTTCCAAGACCTGGTACCGTACTGATCCAATGCCATCCCGTTTCATGGTCAGCTTCGTATTCTGAATCTTGGTAAACCTAGACAGGATGTAGTGGATTGAGTCAGGGCTAATGTGGGGACACAGCTGAGCCCAATATGGGACCTTTGGGACCGATATTCAAATGATCCCTGGGATGACTAGATTCTTGGCTCTTGTCATCCATCTGCCTTCAAAACGGAACTCTCACCCCTTCAGTCATAACCTCTAACAAACAGAGTCAGCCCAGAGCCTGCCTTCTAAGCCTTAGATTCAAACCTGAGGATTCCCATTTATTGTTATTGTTAAATGCCATTAAGTTGATCCAACTCCTAATGATCCTGAACAGGGTTTCTGAGAAGCAGTTGGTGGGTTTGAACTGTGGACCTTGTGGTTTGCAATCCAGTGTTTATCCTACAGTGCCACACCATGAGTCTGGGGATTCCCATATGTACCCCAAATACAATAAATCCTATGCTGTATACATCATCTTTAGTCCCCAAACCTGTACTAGCTTCTTGGTTCTTCATGCCTGCCAGTCTGTCATCATCCTATTTACTGAGCATTCCTGATGTGGCAGCAGAGCAACAGTCATGGACAGACATGCCTTCCTCTCATGGCAAGTCTACATCCCTAGGGGAGACAGGCAACAGACAAGGAAGCCCTAAGTGCATCTGCAGAGACAGCTGGGAATTAGAATTGAGATGGCTGTGTTTGCAGGAGTGAACATGTGGCACTGAGCTTAGAGCCAGGGGTAGAGATTCCAGGCAGAACATACATCCCTCATATTCAAAAACCTAAATGAGGAACGTGATTTTGCACCGCTGAGGAGGCCAGTGTGGGTAAAGTTTAGTGAACCATGGGGAAAAATGGAACCAGATGAGCTTAGAGCATGTATGAACAGTGCTCTGTAAATCAGAGTAAACAGCTCGTATTTTATTTTGTGAATGAGTAGAAGACACTCAGAGATTTTTAATCCAGTTGAGAGCAAGTGTTGGAGAGCATGGAATATAGAAGGGCAAGGGGGAAACTGGGGAAGCAGTTAGAGACCACTGCAGCAGCAGTGCAGGCACAAACAGAGATTAGTGTAATAAAGCAGTATCGTGGGCTCAGATATTCTGGGGGTGACACCAATAGGACTTGCTGATGGACTGGACATGTAGGGTGAGAGAAAGAAGAGTCTAGGAGAACTAGATTTACGGCAACAGCACCTAGAGGTCGATGGAACCACAAGCCAGAAATTGAAGCCTACAACACGCTATTCCCAAAACAGGACCCAGGTCCCTAACAAGTGCTTCCAGAGAGAGCTTCATTCCCACCCTCATCCCAACTGTTTGGATCACCTTGATTCTTCTGCGTTCAGCTCGGATCCCTCGTCAGGGCCATCCCAATACCACAGCCCCTCCCTCAGATGCCCTGAAGCCCCTCTCCTCCCAGTCTGTCATCCTTTGCCTGCTCATAATGGTTTTCATCTGAACAGAATTTTCTTCAGCTCTCTGAATTTCCCTGCACCTCATGCTTCTGGCAAATGCCAACCCTACACCAGTGCGGCAATCCACCTCCCTACTCCTACACCCTGAGCTAGGAACAGAGAAACCCTACTATTTAAGCTGGGGGCACAGCAGCCTCCTAGGTAGCTCGTTACCCAGCATGCCCCCAGGCCTCCATCTGTTTCCCTTCAGGCTTGGTCTGCTGCTTCTCTTGCTCCATCTCTTGCTCCACCAGCAGCTAGGTCAGACCTTCACCTTCCTTAAGTTCAAAGAGTGATCCGACTAAAACACATCTGACCCTGCCCAGCCCTGCCATGACTTCTCATTGCCTCTGAGACAAAAGTCAAACTTGCATCCTGAGATTCAAGCCCCCTAACAGCCAGCTCTGAACCTCTCCTCTCCTGTTGCTCTCAGCCTTTCACCTTTGGAGACCTTAAAAGCAAACAGGCTAAATAAAGACCCTTGGAAAATGCCATTCAATCTTATACTCATTCATCAGCACTGCACACAGGTGTCGCACGTGTGACAATTACTGTTTGAAAAGAAAGACTCTTTTCAGATGACTCCAGTTTCATATTACCTCCTCCAGGAAGCTTCACATCATCATTGCCTCTCTGACCAGGACAGCACCCTGCCATGAGGAGTTTGTGCAGTTCTCCCTCCCATAGAGAACTTCAAGAGGAACAGTGAGGGATTGGGTAGGACTGCTCTAGACCCCTCCCCTCCCCTCCCCACAAGACTTGGCATCAGACAGGTACAGAGTGGCATCAGGAAGGCCTTCTCTACATTTCACATGCCTTTCAGACAGGTCTCCCAGCCAGGGACCAGGCAGAAAATGCTGCTACATCTTCAGTGATGGTGCTACCTCCTCCAATCAGGGGCTCAGCACTACCACTGTCTCTCCACTCCCTGCCCCATGCTGCTTGGGCAACCTTTGCTGGTGTCCCCAGGTCCAGTAGGTGTGCCCCAGTGCCCACTCCCTCCTAGCTGCTCTGGGAGGGCCGCTATAAGCAGGGTTCCCACAAGGTGCACAGGTAAGTTCTGAGGACAGTGATGGGCATGCAGTCTTCTCAGTGACAACTTGAGCTGCTGCCTTTAGATTTCAGTCACCTTAAGAAATCAGTGGCAAGAGCTATTTGGAGCTAATCTGGGGGTACTCTGGGAAACGGGGAACGGGGTACCAGATATCACTTCTAGGAGTCAAGGGTCAGGCTTTGGGGGTCACATCTGGGGATCAAAATCAACTCTTAGGTGTTTGGGGGTCGAGGACTAGGAAGACGGGTGCTCAGAGGTTACCTCTGGTGCGTCAGGGATTGGGGACTCTTGGGCTGGAGATATTGGGAGGTCACCTTCAGGGGACAGGGGTTAGGGGCCCTTTGGGACAAGAGACTGGGGGTCACCTCTGAGGGTTGGGCTCGTTATGCTTGTCTCGATCGTGCTTGATCATGCGGTAGCGGCCTATTCGGATATCTGGGCGTGAGATCTTCATCCCAGTCAGCGAGATCCTGGAGATGAGGACAGATGGATTGGAGCAGGCACCAGGAAGGACAAGGAGCCCCACCCAGTCTGCACGTCACCCCATCCTTACTCACCGGTTGAAGATGTCGTCATCCTCACCACCCCAGCCCCAGTACTCGTTGGGGAAGCCATTGATTCTCAAAAACTGAGCTTTACTCAGGCCGGACACACCTCCAAAGTAGCCAGCATAGGGGAGCCTATGGCATGAAAGGCAGGCATCAGTAAGGGTCCCCAGGGAATTCCAAGAGGGCCAGAGATGGAATGAGAGGAAAATGTGTAAAGGCAACACCAGGAAAGATCTGGTTCAGCCAGAAGGTCTGGGCCAGGGCCAGGAACAAAGGGAGGCCCTGGGGCTAGGACAAAAAGCCTAAGGT